CTTGGGTGTTGTACCTGTGGCTGGAGAATAGAAAACAGAGCCACCATCACCATCATCCACTTCATCAGCCCCAAAAGTGGTGCTGGATGAGTGCTGGTGGGTTGGAGTGTCTATAGGGGTAATGGTGAAGGGGGTGGGGCCAATTGAAAAAGGGTTGGATGAGGAAGAGAAGGGTGAGCGGGATGAAGATGAAGCAGCAGCTGGGGTGGCTGCAACTGAAGAAGAAAAAGATGAGATAACTCTTGCTCCAATGGGATCATATTGCAACTCCTCAAGAATGGATTCCATGCCAGGAATGTTGCATCACTGAGGGTAGAGAGCATTGCTGGCATCGTCCATGTTCACATCATCATCAACCGAGTTATTCTGAGAGGAGGCAGGGGGGGCATCATATGGGTGACCAGTGAGAAGAACAACTGGACCAGTCTGTGCATGGTTGGTCATCATCTTGTGCCAGTGCTCAAATCAAGAGCAGCTTTGAGCAATTGATTCACATTTGGCATAGTCCTGCAAGTTGATAAAGAAGCATAGACAGAGATATAGAGTATAAGAACATTGGCACACTTAACATGAATCAACTAAGTTGTACTTACAGAGCTGTTGTGATCCATGTCTTGAAGAAGTACTCCAGCATTGGTCTGCTGCAAGATGGTCTTCTTGATGTTGTTGTATTGTTCAGTGAGCCAGCGAATCTTAGTCTTTACTCAACCAACACCATCAACAGTAGACTCATCTGGGAACAGCTCCTGCCATATCTGCCCACAGATAATGTCTTTGTTTGTCTTCAGACCCTTTTCCTGTTCCACAGTCAAATGTCCTGGCAATAGAACATGTTGGTATTGATCATTATTGTAGATGATATCAATGAGGTGATTTATGTCACTAGGCAACCAATTGAAGTAGGCAATATGATCTGTTTTGTTGAAACTGCTGCCATGAGTACTGGCTTGATGGCTGCAAGCTGCAGAGATTCGAGTTGGGCAGGTAGAGGCTTGGTGAGGCAAAGAACTGGCAGATGTGGTGGCATTGGAACCAGAAGGAGGGGAGTAGGACAAAGGGGAAGTGGGAGAGGTTGCTGGCTGAGTCAACTCAGCCCCAGCCAAGGTGCTGGAAGTTGCAGAAGGGTGGGGCTGATGAGAGCCATCAAGGTTGGACTGAGCTGACATTGTGTTGTGCTGCGAAGCAGTTGAAGACCGTGTCATGGACTTGACGGCGCAGGAAGCAGGAAGACCCGACAGTTCATATGAAGGTAGCACAGGAATCGAAGGATCAGGTGGATCGGTGGATTTACAGAAGAATTCAGTGGAATCAGTAGTAGACCCAGTTCTATGACAGATCTCATTGGGATCTGCATGAACAAAGTCAATATCACAGATCCTACCAGAATCTGCAGTAAGTACAATAGTATGGCAGATTTTGCTGAGATCAGTGATAATGATGTTTGTATGACAATTTCACATGTGAGAGGGACTACATTTGCAAGCAAGGAGGATCGAGCACTGCCAAGACAGGGACCAAGCTCATGAAGCATGCAGATGGTTACTGCTCAGGGGCTCAGGAGATATGCAGACAAGAGAACCATTGCTGGTTGAAGGAAGAGGAGCTGTGTGGCAGACACTGGTGAACAAGTCATGAGGAGGAGGAGCAGTGTCGATGGAGTCAATACAGCTCAGGAAAGACAGGAGCGATGAGGTTCGTCAAGGGGGAGGAGTCTCAGTGGAGACTCTAGCACAGTACTCGGTGGTGAAGGTACTCTCTGGAAAGAGAGTCAGAGCAGTGTTGCTGGCAACGCTGCGAAGAGGTATATAACCATACCTTCTCATCACAAAGGGTCGAGTGGATTCCCATCCACTCTACTCACCATATTAACTAGTTATCACTTCAGCATTAAGTATACATTAGTTACAGTCAGCAAGCAGCAATCAAGTAGATTGTGTCAGGGGTCTCGCGCCTGAAACCCAGGTCGGTCTGTCGAGATACTCGGTGACTATCAAACTGTGCGACAGCTATTGTCTCAGTATTGGTCTCAACAAGCTAGTTGCTTGGCAACTATCAAGTTGTGCGATGACAATGGGTGGCATTCATTGTATATACTGTTGTAGGTTTCAGCTGACCTCTGTGGACACTCCGTTCAGGGGTAGCTCAGCACGATCAATATCAATGCTTCGGTTATGATGACACCAAGGTCTGGTGTGAGTGTTGATGATGATGAGGTTGATGGTGTTGGTGATAAGGTTGGTGGTGTCAACATGAGTGTCCAGTGTGTTGACTTTGACGCTTGAAGTGATCCCCGGACCGCAGTGGACTACTGCCTTTGGTTCTATCTATATCCGGACTGCTAACCTGCTATGGGGCGCCTACGGATGTCAGGTAGTGGTGATACAACACACACACTATGATGAGGAGCAACCTTGATAGATTGCTGCTATGCTGACTGTAACTAATGGGTACTTATGTTTCTAAAGTATTGACTAGTTGTATGGTGAGTAGAGTGGATGAGGATCCACTCGACCTATGATGATGAGAAAGCATGGTTATATACCTCTTCACAGCATCGCCAGCGATGCTGCTCCTGCTCTCTCTCCAGAGAGTACCTTCTTCATCGAGTACTGTTCAGGGGCCCCTCTAGCACTGCTCCTCCTCCTTGCTATCCTGCTTGCTTGGCACCCCTGTGCCTCTTGAGCTGTGTCGACTCCTTCGACACTGCTCCTCCTCCTTGCTATCCTGCTGCTTGTTTGGCACCCCTGTGCCTCCTGAGTGGTGTCGACTCCTTCGACACTGCTCCTCCTCCTCATGACCTGGTGTCGACTCCTTCGACACTGCTCCTCCTCCTCATGACCTGGTGTCGACTCCTTCGACACTGCTCCTCCTCCTCATGACCTGGTGTCGACTCCTTCGACACTGCTCCTCCTCCTCAGGACCTGCTTGCCGGTGTCCTATACACTGCTCCTTCTCCTTTGACTGGTGACAGTTCCTTTGACTCTTGTCTCTCGAGCCCCTGAGTGGTAACCATCTGCATGCTCCTTGAGCTTGGTCCCCTTTGTGGCTGTGCCTGCTCCATGAGCTTGGTCCTCCTCATGGCTGTACCTGGCCTTCCTCGCATATGGCTCAGTCCTCCTTTGCATGTGAGTCCATAGGAGTCCATGGTCTCCATGGAGACTGCACTATGACCATGCTCTCTACTGGTATCGACTAGATCTCTGATACCTGTGCTCCTTCCATATGAACCAGTGACCCTCCTGCTTCTTGAGCATTCAGGCCCATGACAGATTGCTCCTCATTGAAGCGCATGTGTTGTATCACTGCTCACTGATGTCTGAAGGCGGTTCATAGCAAACCAGCAGTCCGGATAAGATAGAACCAAAGGCAGTAGTCCACTGCAGTCCAGGGATCACCTCAAGCACATAGTCAACACACTGGACACTTGTGTTGATGCCACCAAGCACATTGCTCACACCAGACCTTGGTGTCAGTACCAGTTCACATCATTATTGATTGTGCCAAGCTGCCTCTGGATGGAGTGTCTGACAGTGGTCAGTTGAAATCTGCAATAGCATTACCACAACTACAGATTCGAGCGAGAAAGATAATAGAGACAGCTCTACTGCATATCTCATCCAGAATTGCAATACCACAAGCACTGTCACATAACTCGACAGAATCGGTAATAGTATTGATACTACTACCGATCTCAGGTTTCAGGCGTGCGACCGCTGACAGACTGCTCTGATGCTGGAGCCAATCCAGAGGCTTGCTGCAAAGCTGTGAATAGTGTATTGTTGTTGATATGGTCATGAGGGGATGGCATGTCCATGTCCTGGTGCTGACAGGGAGGAAATGCTACTGGAGATGGTGATAGAAGTGAAGCAAGGACAGACATAACTCAAAGCATGAGAAAGTGTAGACAGTGTGGAAAGTGGAGTTCAAGGGTTGTGTGCAGATTTGTGTTAGAATCACATGATATCAGCACATGACAAAAACTCCTGCTGAAAACTCAAATATTCAGAAACCCAGGCTCACAGCAAAAATAAGTAGAGGTTTTCAAAACTTCTGAGCTTTTCTTTCCTGGCAGAGCTTACTTAAGCAGTGAGTTTTCAAAATCCAAAAAAACCATGAAAACTTGGAGTTTTGAAAACTCAGAGGAAACTGAAACCCCCTAAGGGGGTATCAATTCTCGAGTGTTTTTAGAAACACATGTTTCTCGATTTTGACGAGTTTTTATTTTGCACAAAAACCTTACATAAGCTCACCCAAAGTTGAAAAAACACATGTTTCTGAAAACATGCCTCTGGACCTGGTAAAATGGACTCACTTTTTCTGTCACTCTCCAAAATGAAGTGTGGATGCATGGATGTGCATCCACTTGCTTTACTTCATCACACTGGTGTGTCATGTCCTTCATCACTGTGCTTCATGTCCTTCATTACTGTGCATCATGTCCTTCATTACTGTGTGTCAAATGAAGTGCAGATGCACAGATGTGCAACCACTTGCTTCCCTCCTTCATTACCAGCAATGAATTTGGTAACAGACATGTTAAATCAAATTAATTGCCACCTTTGCTGCAAACGTGTTTTTGGAAACATGTGTTTTTTGGATGCTCCTAAAAGGGGTGTTCAAAAATGGGAAAAAGTCGTCAAAATCGAGAAACACATGTTTCTAAAAACACTCGAAAATTGATACCCCCTCTAGTTTACAATTGGGGGCATCAATTTCCTGAGCTTTTTTGAGGATTGGAATACTTTAGTTTTCGAGGGCAAAAAAAAATTGAAACCCCCTATTCTAGGCTGGGAAAATTTAACCTACAAACGAGATAGTTTTTGTTCGCAAATATCACCCTAACATCAAAAAGTCTGATTATCGAGCTCAGCTGCTGCACGGTTCTTCGTGTTGCCGTTCAAGCCGAACTTTCTTCTTGTATCTGTGGTGTGACTATCTCCACTTTGCTCCCTATCAGCAAGACAATCAGCGCTCCTACTACACCCGGTTGAGTCAGAGATATGGCGACGGCAAAGATCGCAACGCTGGCCATCCGTACGCTCGCCAAGCCTATTGCAACGCAGCTCAAGAGCCAAGCCGCACAGCATGAGAGGTTTAGAAAGGTATGCTTCCTCATCAACCAGCTGCGATCACAGCCATGGAAGGGGAATGGCTGACCTAAGTAACTTTGTCCACTGTTTCGCTTCTACCTTGAATCTTAGTTCTGCATCGCGCTTGCCCAACGGATGCACCGCACAGAGATGGCGCTCAGGACGAATCTCCTTCCAAAAGGGGTCCAACAGAAAGTACGACCACTAAACGATGCCAAAGCGATAGCGAACGGTGCCAATGCGATATCGGAAGGCTTCCTTTTCTTCGTGGCAGCAACCCTCATCCTCGGCGAGACATATCGAGGCTCTCGTAAGAAGGCGGAACAGCGCGATCGCACCGAAGACTCGCTCAATCAGCTCAAGGACCAAGTCGAAAGGATGGCCACGGTACTCGGCATTGATCTGGAACAGCTCGAGCGTATATCAGAGCGGCAATTGGACGGAGATGACTCGCAAGCAAGCGTATCTGGAAGCAGCAGTAGGAATGGCGGAAACAGTGCAGGCGTGGTAACCGAGGAAGCAGATCCATCCTTGGTCAAGGCGCGGCTCCGAGTGTTCCGTGACAAGCAGGATGAGAATATCAAGTCAAAGCAGTTACAAGCAGCGGTCTCCGTGCTGCTCAACCTTTCCCTCCAGAATCGATGGGTTGCGGGGCCAGAGGCGTTGGAACTGGAGGGCATCCTGGGCGGCTCTCGATCGAACCCATCTCACACACCAACACAGCCCTCGCAGATATCGCAAGGAGAAGCGAATAGGACGCCAGATGTTTCAGTCAACAGCAGCTTTCAGGTGCCGATAGCGACATCGGAAGACCCATCAACACCGACCCTTCAACCTTCCATCATACAACAGGTGGCCCTGGAGAGGGCAAAAGCATTAGCCCGCGAGGCTAGAGGCGAGACGGATCCAAATATACAATCTGCCGATGCGTCATTAGCCAACCTTCTAGCTCAGCATAGACAGACGACTTCAACCTGACCTCATCTCGTGATACCACCATTCAATTCCAGATATCCCAACAGCATCGACTGACGTGTGTTATGTGAACTGTATCCCGAGATCATGCTGTGATAACACAGCAATTTTCTTCAATACAGCAGTCGGACGAAGGGGTACAAATCAAATTCGACCGAGCCAATGGTCTTCAGAGATACATACAGCGAGAAACAGGTAAGAAAGTGGGACAATCAGAAAGTCTGACGAGACAAAATGGCAAAGGGAGAGTATCGCAAGCGCAAAAGGAGCACAGGCCACAAACGAATCGCAAACCGAGCCCAGCAATGTCATCGTCGTCCGGATTGTCACTGGGATCTTCGGGATTTGTTGAGCGCCTTGTCCGAGGAGAGAAGGTGAAGAGCGGGTATCTCGTCCCATCCGAATCGGGACCCAAAACAGCCAGGAACGAAAGTGGTATCCAGGATAGTGAGAATACAGCAGAAGCGCAGAGTATCATTGGGCTGTTCTATCGATTGCAGCTCTAAGATGCACGGGGTCGGACAGCGATGGCTTCGTAGCGAGCGAAACCAAAGACGGTAGCGGTGGCCCAGATCTGGAGGTCAACGCCAAGGTGAGCGAGGACGTAGTCGTACGAAAAGAGCGAGCGCAATCCTCGAATGAGTGCCAACTCGGGGACCTCACCAGCAGCAACGCCGAGCATAGCGGGTGAAGGAAGGCCAAGCGCGGTGAGGGTGCTGTTCGGAAGCACGCGGGCCAGGAAGAAGAGGGCCGAGAGACGTGCCAAGAGGAACGAGTAGGCCGAAGGCTGCGAGCGACGATCAAATGTGACCAGGTGGGCTACAGCAAGGGGCACAAGAACGCTGTAGACGGCCCAGAGCACCAGGGGTCGGTAGAAGGCTAGGCTGATGAGGCCACGCGGGTCCGGAAGAGTGATGGCCCAGTGAGGGAGGTATCCGTTGATGCCAGACTTGGGGTTGACCACGGGGATGTGAGGGCCACGGCTTTCAAGCTCGAGGTAGGTGGTAGGGAGCGTGGCGAGCACAAGCAATATGCCCTCGAAAGCAACAAGAAGGCGAACAAGATTCTTGGAGTCGCTAAGCCAGTTGCGAGCACGGAAAAAGACCTTGTCGCCTTCCTGCTTGACCTTGCGGTAACGCTTGGCGGCTTCACCTTGAACGGCCTGAAGGCTAGCAGCGACCTCGCTCTGAGCATCCTGAACCTCACTGCTCAGCTCGTCGGCCGTGGAGCGAGCGTTGCCCGAGATGGTGTCGACGAGCTTGTCGAGCGACTTGCGAGCCTTGAAGCCGCGCTGCTTGGCGGTAGTAGCAAGGTCGGAAACGCTCTCAGGGATGTTGGCAAAAGGAGTCGAAGGCGTGACAAGGTTGCAAGCACGTTGCGAGTGCTTACGAGGCGACCGAACAGACGCTTCGGGCGAGTCAGAGGCGTCCGAGTCGCTATTCGTCATTCAACAATCGTAATGAAGGATGAAGGAAACCTTTCAGTCAGTCTTATTATTACACCATTCACCGAGTGCTGAACACCGGCGCGGGTCTTGTAAGTATACTTACGCGTTTCCATTGACGCTGCTGGAACGAGCAGAGCGTTTGCGACCGTCAAGGCTCTCGATGAGGCCCTTGAAGTTCCCATTGGAAGAGTACTGGTTCTTGTTGCTCATTAGGTGCTCACGGATGAGGTCCTCAAGCTCTTCCTTCTTTTCCGACTGGTCGAGACCGATACCGAGAGCCTGAGCAATCTCGGTGAGCTCTCCCTTGCGCTTAGCCTTGAGCGAGCCTTTGAACGGAGTAGATGACATCTTGGAAGAAACACGCAAAGGAGTATCGTGTAAAGGAGCGAAGGTTGGTCTGAGGAGTAGGATGTGGAAGAAGGGAAAGGCAGGGTTCACGGGATCGGGCGGATGGATATCGTAGATGCAACAAAGCGGATGGATGCAAAAGAAAGGCTGGATGTGCGTGTCACTACTCTGTGCTCCGTTTCTGTGCGACTCACACACAAGTCTCAACCCCGCCTCCACAAGGCGGCGGCAGCAGCGGCCAAGCTGTTGGCGTCGCGTTGTGCGGCGTGTCTCCCTCTCACAAGTCTCTGACAAAGGTAACGATCAAACATGATAATGAGAGATGACACAAGCCGGTGGTGGAGGGATTGGGACAGGCTGATCTGATCAGAGATTCAGGAGGACCAATCTAGGAAGAGATTGGGTGCAACACAGTCCCACTGGTTGTCATGGTAAATCATTAGATAGGAGTACTCCCACCTGTGGGAGATGTCACAAAGATGTATATATACAGTACATGCATAAACAGTCCCATAATTTTACATGTCACCATACATCACTCTAATGCTCAATAGCTATAAGTTGTATTGCCACACTGTCTGATATTGTCTGAAAGCACTGCTTCTTCTCTCCAAGACTGTGTAATTGATATTGACATTGACTAAAAAAATTGTGCTATGTTGATGCAGTCTGGCATGCTCTCTATTAGTATCCTACATGTCTCTGGAGTGATCACTGTCCATTCAGCTTCAAATCTCTTGAGCAGTTCATCCCTGGACTTTGCAATCATACTATACTGTGAAAGTCACATTTTGAGATGGTGCCAGAGGTGTTCAATTGGGTTCAAGTCTGGTGACTGCCCTGGCCATTGCATAACCTTAATGCTATTGCCTTCCAACCATGTTCTTGTCTTCTTCGACATGTGTTTCGGGTCATTGTCTTGCTGAAACATGACATCAGTGTATGCATGCTGAAGCCACAAATCTGAGATTGTTTTCACAAGCTTGTCATTCAAGATATCAATGTATTGGTCTGAATTCATTGAACCCAGCACCAAGCACATACCTCCCACCCCTTCCCACATCATACAGCCCCAGATCATGATGGAGCTGCTGCTGAACTTGACTGTTGGCCTGACAAGCTTGCTGTTGAAGCCAGCATTCTTAATCTAACAGAACTGCTTCCCATCCAGTCCAAAGAAGTTGATCTTTGTCTCATCGGACCATACCACCTTCTTCCAATCCTCAACAGTCATGTCCTTGTGCTCATTCACAAATTTGAGATGCACTTTGTAATGCCTCTTGAGTAGCTTTGGTTTATTCACTAGCCTTCGTGCTTTGTAACAACAGTAATGAAGTGCTTTTCTTACTGTCATTGGGCATGCTTTGATGTGAAATGTCTCCTGCAGTGCATGACATGCTTTCCTGACTGTGGACATTGAATTGAGCTTGAAATAGTGGTCCAGGAAGCAAACATGATGAGGCTGGAGTTTTCTTGGCCAGCCCCCCTTTGACTTTGGAGCATTGGCAGAGGCACTTTTGCTGATGTGAGACACCATAGACTTGCTCAGACCAAGTTTCTCAGCAACTGAACAGGTAGATTCTCCATTTTGGAGGCAAAAGAGTGCCGATCAGTGCTTCTTGGGAGTGGTTTTTGTCATGATGGTATAGATATGATGGTGTCAGACTGGAAGTGCTGCCAGATTGCTCACAGTCATCTGATTGAGCTGAAACTTTCCACATCACTACTTTCAATGTGTATGAAGGTGCCCACCAAGTTACATTACAAGTTTCATTGTAGTCAAAAGCCCACAAGGTCAGGAATGGAGTGGTGTCGCTATTTGGGAGCATGCTCCATAAACTGTCTGAGAGCACTAGGCTCTCAGCCCGTTCTTCGAGTCAATTGAGTATATATGTTTCTGTCTAAAACAGCAGTGACATCGTACTCAGACTCTCCCCGATTGCCAGTATCGGGACCATAGAACTTCTTTACTTGTATCAGTCTCGTGCTCTCTTGCTCTCTTGCTCCCTTATTCACGCCATTCTATGACACCTTCCATTTTCGGAACATCAGAAAATCCATTGCATCCTATCTCTCCCTTCAGCAGACCAACGTTTTTCTCAACTCAAATCATACTACAAACCTTGTATGCTTCCTCATCGCAGTGTGCTTTCGACCGTAGAAGTCGACGTAATTGTAGTTCTCGCTTTGCAGCGTTGAGAGGTCTTGGTGAATAACAAGGCAAGGGTCGTGGTTGACATGGCTTTACGTCATTTTGACACCTGACTGCCGCATCGGGATGAGATCCACCTGTTTTTTTCAAGAAAGGTATTAAAAAGACCTAACAAAGAGAAGGTTTGATTACATAAGCTTAGCGTTTTGAATTCGCGAAGGGTTCAGCTGTCCAACATCTTCGCAAAGACTCGATCCTGCAGAGGCATCCCGAACCACGCACGATCCGCAGATGGATCCTCAGAAGCTGCACTATCACACAGTCACGAAGCTTGACCCGAAACGCAGCCATGTCACAAACTCTGACCCTACATCCGGTGACGTCCTTCACATTCACAACGAAGGATGCGCAGCCCGAAGAGGATCCATCTGTAGCAGCTCGATTGCAGCGCCTGCAAAACAACTACGAGGATCTCGGCATGAGGAGAACGGTCGAAGCTGTCCTCGTAGTGCACGAGCACGGGCATCCGCATGTCCTCATGCTTCAGATTGCCAACGCCTTCTTCAAGCTGTAAGTATCGAAAACCCACTAAGCGCTTCACCTGCCAAGCAATTTTACCGAAGAAGCAAGAAGATCGTGCTGATTATTTCTCCTCCTCGATGGGTTTGGACGATTACAGGCCAGGAGATTACCTCAAACCAGGCGAGGATGAAGTTGAAGGAATGAAAGCCAGACTAGACGAAAGACTAGGGCCAGTAGAGAGCGATCCAAACTCGTTCGGTCCCAACGGCGAAGGCCGCAACAAGGACGATGGAGAGTGGGAGATTCAGGACTGCTTAGCACAATGGTGGAGACCCAACTTTGAAACATTCATGGTAAGTTCCGTGGCCGCTTGACACAACAGCTTCGATGCATCAAACTGACACTTGACACTCTGATTGAACGAACCAAATAGTACCCGTACGCACCACCGCATATCACTAAGCCAAAAGAATGCAAGAAGCTCTTCCTGGTCACCATTCCCCCAACAAGTAAGTGATTTTTACCCCTCACAACACCGAAATTCAGAGTTGATCACTAATTAGCTTCGCCTCGACATTCTTCCAACTTTCGCTGCGTCGGTTCGTCCTTCTGTCTCTGAACGCCTCCTGCGACAGAGGTGCTTGCGGTGCCCAAGAACATGAAGCTACTCGCAGTGCCATTGTTCGAGCTCTATGACAACTCACAACGATATGGTCCTCAGCTCGCAGCCATCCCGCATCTTCTCTCAAGGTACAACTTCATCTACTCTGATTGAAAGTGTCTATGCTTTTCCGACCAGCCCAGCTCTGTACTTGTAACTTTAGACAAAAACGATCACTATTCGCAGCAGTGCTATGAAAGACGAGGAAGCGTCTGCGAGTCTCCTCGGCACCTAGACCTTTTCCACACGCAGTTCAGTGCGGGGCTCGGAGTCTGCTCACTTCACCGCAAGCACAAACGAGACACTGTCTGGCCTTGCTGGCAGCCTTCCATTGCTTGATGCATTTGATGCTTAAGGTGGCACTCAACATTGACACACAATACAGTTGTGAGAGATACCATGTGCATCCTTGGGCAACACAGTGCAGAGTGCTATTGCAAGAGAAGAGTGATACTAGTACAGTTTTGATTTGAGAAATGATTTTCTGGTAATGTGGCAGGATGATGATGACGAGTGCGAGAGAAAAAAGGAAGGGTGGTGAATGCGAATAGGGGAAGTGGAACGGGTTCCGGGCATGCGACTATGAGATTTCCGAGAGGCACAAAGCGGAGAGAAAGATCTGGGGTCGCAGAATGCGAAACGGAACCGAAGATGAAATTGGGATGGTGGGTTTGCTCCTCGCTGACACTGTCCAACATCGAGCCGGATGCGAAAGCTGAGAGGCAATAAATTAATGCTGCTGGATACTGCTGTTGCTGATGATAGGGATCGGAGTTGATGCTGCTGAAAGTGATGGGTAATTTTGATGATGTGCAAGCGTTGCTGAGCGACGATCAAGGCTTGCGGAACTCAGCCAACACTGGTAGGATGAGATTGAATGCCTGGTAGATCTCTTCTCGTACCTTGGCACCAGTGAGCACGATCTTGCCAGAGACAAAGATGAGGAGCACAACCTTGGGCTTGACCATTCTGTAGATCAGACCGGGGAACAGCTCGGGCTCGTACGACGAGTAAACACCGTGGCTGTAGGCGAGACCTTCGAGTCGAATCGGGAAGCGAACGTCGCACGATCCTACGATGTTCTGAATCTTGAACTCGCTGAACTTAGCCTCAAAGCCGAGCTTCTGGATGATACGTGCGTACTTTCGACTGGCGAGACGGCTGTCATCTTCCGACTTGGCGCCGGTGACCACCATCTTGCCCGAAGCAAAGATGAGTGCCGTGGTCTTGGGCTCTCGGATACGCATGATGACGGCGGCGAATCGTTTGGGGTTGTATTCGGCATTGCGCGCATGCAGCGCGATGGTCTTCAGATCCAAACGAACCTCAAGGTTGACGGTGGCGACAATGTTTCTGCGCGCAGCAGAGTGACGAAGGATGGAAAGAGCTCAGGGTGTCAACATGCAACGTTCCAAAGAGTTACAAAACAATTACTGCCATTGGTTCTGCGCCATCTGCGCGTCCGTAATCGTCACTGATGACGAAGGAAGACACGCAAATGGGCAGAAGGCAGTGCGGAGAAGGATACTCACTGCAACGTAGGTACAATACCATGTACACTCGAGAGGCCTTGTTCCAGACTGGCGTCCTTGCCGACAGCGGCAGGCTTCTGGTCATCTTCGCTGGCGCCGTTGGCTTTGGTAAAGGCACCAGCGTTGGAGTTACCCTTGACGCTGGTGGCGTTGTTGGCAGAGTTGCCCGAGCCGGGCAGTGCGACACCTCCGAAAGCCATCTTGTCGGATGCAATGATGGAAGCGAACGAGGATGAGAAAATGATGAAAGATGCCGAGGCCGAATGGAGAGAAGGCGTCGGAGTTATGTAGCGAGGTATTGAACCTGGTTGCGACGAAGAAAGAGTGAGATGAGTCGTTGCTGAAAAGCTTGCGACGTCAAGACACACGAGGACAATGCGGAATCACGATGGGAAAGGTCGAAGGTGGCGACGAAGCGGAAGCGGAATGAAAGCCGGAAAAATCGCACAGAAAGACCAATGTAGGCTGTTTGAAGACCTTCAGAAATGCTGAGTGGTCAACTTTTTTGACAATTGCAATTGCGTCGAGAGAAGAGGAGACGTGCGTGGAAGAATGATCCTTTTGCGGTGATGACGATCAACAGTCAAGGTGATCGTCGAAACAAAAGGGTTGAAGACACAACGTCGTCACCGTCAACAAACAGACTAGTCGATGCTACTGGTCCCGAGGTAGGAAAATGTAATCGCGCTGACGTCAAAGAAGCAAGCAGGCGGTCAAGGTCGGAGGCGGATCAGTCAAGACCCCTTCGATCGAGAGACAACGCTGACGAAGCTGGTAAAAAGCTCGGAAGTTGTGCTGATGTTCTTTGAACGGCTTGCGGGCGAAATACAAGCTGTATTGCTGATGGGGAGCGGATACAGGCTTGCGGGATGAGCGGAAAGCAGTAGGTGTCGCGTAGACTGAGTGTCGAGGGGATGGAAGTGGTAAGAGGGAAAGGAGGGATTTTCGGGTTCGAGTTCGTGGGATTGGCCTCTGAGAGACTTTGGCTTTATATACGATTGGAGTGCAGAACTCAACAACACCGCTGAGCTGCTTCGAAAAATTTTGTTCATCCACTAGAGCAGTGTTGGAAAAACCGGTAGAAATTCAATCTATTTGGCTAAGTCGCGACTACAAGCTTTGTATCCTTTTTCTATTCTATCAGCTAAGCACACTCAAAGCTCTGTATTTACAGAGGGGTTCTTAAGACGTGTCTTGCGCGAATTCACAACGTGTTCCTCACTCTACAAACGCTTCCACTAACTTACTTACGGTTCCGCTTTCAGCCACCGCTCTGATTGTTAGAGAGCGGGTCGATGTGGTGCCCCGCGATTCGCTTTCCAGCAGGGAACACAACCGTACAGTCCCTTCTTGAAGTTTGAGGACAGGGCCCAATAGACAATGATTCAACTTGTCTGGTAGCATACCTTCCATCTGCTTGGAGGACTGATGTCTCATAAGTGTCAGGCTGAGCAAAACACACAGTGAGCAAGCCCAAGAGAAGAGCTTTCAATTGCAGTGAGTCTCAGAGCTGACTAATACTTGAGTGGACCTCCATGCTTAGTAAGCACCTGCTCCACACAATGCTCCATTGACTCAATCACAGGGTTGATATGTTTGAGCATGGTCTGGGTGTTCCACACTTCCTCTGCAGCTCTTGCAAGTTCATCCTGGGTTTTTGGTACCAGCAAGCACTTACCAAGCAAGTTTTTGAAAACATACCATATATTCTCAAAAGGGTTAAGATCCAGCAAAGCCAGCAGGTGTTTTTGTGTCTGTATGTTGTATTTGGCCTGCTGTTGCTTGCAGATAGTGGCCTGATGACAGCTGCTGCTGTCCTCAAAAACTGACAGGCTGTCATAGGGCCAGATGCACAGAAGTAGGAAGAACGGAGGTCATATGAAGAGGAGTGCAGGAATCATAGGATTGGGCAAAAATAGGGTTACAGCAGAGTTCATTGAGATCTGTAGTAGAGGGGCTCTATGACAGATCTTGCCCAAATTGGTGTGAGTGGGTTCATATTGTGAATCCTGCCAAAATCAGTAGTATCTTGATCATAGGATAGATCTCGCTGAAGCTGGGAAGAGGGCACTGATCCTCACAAGCCTCACAGCAGGACAAGGCATCATAAGCATTGGGTCTGTCACCCTGATGAAACAGGGGACCAACCCAATGATGAACTTGGACCAGGAGGGTGGGCGAGATGAAGAGAGGAGACAAGTTGCCACCCAGATGAAGTGGGAATGACCCCTGTTGAGGATGAAGCAGCATGAGGGCCATCCATCCACACAAGGTGAGAGAAGCAGCACCAATGGACAGTACTGCAAGATGGATGGAAAGGATAGGAGGGGCGAGGAGGAGGAGCAGTGTCGAAGAGGCCTTCCAGAGTAGGAGCAGTGTCACAGGTGATGTTGCAGGAGTGGATATATAACCATGCTCCTTGTCATAGTAGTTGAGTGGAGAGGCATCCACTCTACACCTTATATCACTAGTTATAGCTTCACAGAAAGTATAGTTAGTATTCCATCAACAGTTGCAATTGCAGAGCATTGCATCTAACATAGTGCATGTGTTGTATCACCACTCATTCACATCATCCAAAGGCAGTATCAACTGCAGTCTGGATATTGATCAACACCAAAGGCAGTTCATACTGCAGTCCAGCTCTCTTGATCATTAGAACCAAAGGCAGTTGTCCATTGCGGTCCAGGGATCACCAATCATTCAGCCGACACACTGGACACTTGTGTTGGCATCAACCCTTCACCAGCATCAGACCTTGGTGTTCACCATGCAACTATAGTTATTGATCATGCTGAGCTACCTCTGGACAGAGTGTCCACAGTGGTCAGCCAAAATCTGCAATAGATATCAGTTACAACAGATTTGAGCAAGAAAAGTCATAGAGGGCTTCTATGACAGATCTTGACAAGAATAATAATACACAGCATTTTACTACATATCTCAACAGGATCTGTAATAGACGTGTTTCTACTACAGATATCAGGTTTCAGGCGCAAGATCCCTGACACAAGCCATCAGGATATGCACTAACAGCAGTTACAGCATCCCGGAGCAGGCCATCAATTATCCAATCGTGATACCTGGCAGCTGTGAGATTCTCAGTGGGATCACATTGATTAGCCAACCCTTGTTGCTTCTTCCTTGGAGCCAATGGGAGCACAACCAATGGGGTTTTAAGGTTGTATGCAATGCCAGCCCATACCTGGATGCTGAAACGGCTGGAACAGAATGTTGGTGTCATAGGACCTGCGCAGAAGATCGGGTTGGCACAAGAAGATCCAAGATGAAGATGAAGTATGCCTAAAAAGTGCACAGAATGTGAAATTAACCATAACACAGGTTCCCAGTTGATTTAAGGGAAATTAACCACATCAAGGTTTCCTTCTTGGTCTTGCTGAAATCAAGCAGAACACACTCATTGGGTTGATTTCACCAAACATGCTGCAAGAAGCTCCCAATGTTACAGAATGGGCTGATGGATTACAAGAAAGCAATGGGAGACCCAATAGAGAAGGTCTCCATCATCGAGGGACATAATAGGACAACAGGAAAGGTTTCACATGTGAGGAGAGGGTCTGTGTCCAGCCAAGAAGAGGACTGAGCTCAGGAGCATGTGGTAGGTTACCACACAGGGGGACGTGCTCGCGATGGCAAGGAACTAGTCACCAGGAAGACCGTGTCATAGGAGCCGGATGCGCAGGAGGCAGGAAGAAGTTGAAGCCATATGAAGGAGCACAGAAATCGCAGGATCAGGCTAAACGAGAGCTTAAGGAAGAGTTTGCTGAGATCAGCAGTAGAAACAATCCTATGGCATATCTCATCAAGATCTGTGAGAATGATGTCATTACTACAGAGTTCAGTGGAAATCACAATATCACACTGGGTACTGCAGATCTCAAGAGGAACAATCAGAGAGGCACCCCATCACCAATATGGTGAAGAAGAGGTCACCAAACAAGGGGGGGACACCATCAGATGAAGCAGGGGCACCACAGGGATGAAGCTGGCAGAAGGAGGTGGGCACTGAATACAAAGAAAGGATGAAAGGGTGTGAGTCACCACCCAAATGAGGTGGGACTGGCCCCTGATGAAGATGAAGCAGCCAGAGGCCACCCATCCAGAGGAGGCAAGGAGGTGTTGCCAATGAGTGGCAACACAAGGTGGATGGGGAGCATAGGAGGGATGAGGAGGATGAGCAGTGTCACAGGCAACATTGCAAGAAAGGTATATAACCATGTTCTCTGTCCTAGCAAGAGAGTGGATCACCATCCACTCTACACCATACACTACTAGTTATAGCTTTACACATAAGTATACATTAGTATCCAGTCAGCATGTTGCAACCTCAATAAGATTGCATCCATTGTAGCACATGTGTTGTAACACTGCTCACTGACATCTGAAGGCAGTTCATAGAAACATGCAGTCCAGATAACAATAGAACTGAAGGCAGTCATCCACTGCAGTCCAGGGATCACCTCAAGCATTCAGTTGACACACTGGACACTTGTGTTGGCACTATGAGTCCTCCCACTCACACCAGACTTTTGGTGTTGAGCAATACATTCAAGTTATTGATTGTGCTGAGCTACCTCTGGACAGAGTGTCCACAGTGGTCAGTCGAAGCCTGCAATAGCAAAGCCATTACTGCATCTTTGAGCAAGAAAAGTGATAGTGACATCTCTACTACATATCTTGCCAAGAATTGTAATACCACAATTGCTGTCACATATCTCGATGGAATTCATAATAGACACGGTTCTATTACAGATATCAGGTTTTGGGTGTGCAACTGCTGACAGACCACAGGGATGGGAGTGGGACAATGAGGATGGTCACATGGTCAGGGAGGGCCATCAGATAGGGGCCAAGAGGAACAGCCATGGATTGAGAGGGGAGCAAGCCGGGCCAAGGGGTCCAGCATGGGAACTATGAGGAGGACAGGCAGTGTTGGGAAGATCAACACACAGCTCAAAGGAGAGGAGGAGACAAGAGGAGGATGGGAACACTCCTCAAGAGGAGCAGGAGCAGTGCCATAGGCAACACCCTCCAAACACATATATACTACCACTTCACCATAGCATATAAGTGGATCCTCATCCACTCTACTCTATACCTTACTTACTCTTTACTTGACTCTTAGTTACATATCCTTGCAATAGCAGAGGCTTTGCAATGACATCTCGATTGTGTGTGTGTTGCATCACTATCAGACATCAAACTGTAGGTGGTGTTGCTCAACATCTGTGGTCCAGTCATTTACTGTAGGTGGTGTCTAACACCTGTGGTCCAGTACCTCCTGTAATCTGTAGGCAATAGTCTTATTGTGGTCCAGACAATGTCAAGAGCATCAAGCAGCAGCATTACAAACACTCTTGCTGTATTAGGAGAGTTGTACCTACTACCATTCTCAACCCCATGTGTTATGGGTGTGCCATATAGCCTCTGAATGGAGTGTTCAAGGTGGTTAGCCAAAACCTACCAGAATTCAATCTCCTGGTTACTTTCAACCAAAATATACCAAATACTAGGGTGAACTCGCACCTTTTGGCCTTTGTCTCATCATCAAATGTTTTGGGTAATCCAGATAATCCATCATCTGGATATGCTATCATTGCTTCGTGCTGAGTTTGAGGGATCTCATAATGTCTTGTGTGGGGGTTGAGATCACTGGTAATGGTTGTACCATCTGGTAGTTCCAATGTCATGTGTTTAGAGTCAAAAGTCACACATGCACCATTGTTTGCTAATGCCTTCATCAAGATCAGGTTTGCATCTGGGTCCAGAACATAAAGTATATTATCAAGTAGTACTCCATGACCATTCACATTAAGCATAGCCTGACCAATTGCCATGATGTGAATCTTCATTCCACTTGCAGTCTTCACAAAACCAGTGCAAGGAGTGGAGGAAATAAGACTTGATTTCTCATTCATGACATGATTGGTGGCTCCTGAGTCTACAATCCAGTTTGTGGGCTGCTGATCTAGGGAGGCATGGTAGGCAGAGTCAATGGTGCACCAAGCATCCTAGGTGGGTGTCTGGTTGGAGACATGGGCCTTTGCAGGTGCATCTTCATGAGTCTTCTTTGGACAGTACCTGGATATATGGTCCTCTGCATTGCACTGGTAGCATTGTTGGACACCATCAAGTCCAGGCTTGCCACATTGGTAAGCCTCCTCATTTATGACCTGTCTGTTGGCTAAGTTTGCCTGAGCAGTCTTGAGGTCGCTGGCCCTGCGGTCCGTTCGAGCGGTCATACTGTCTTGGCGCATGTCATAGGGCCGGATGCGCAGAAGCAGGAAGAACGGATGTCATATGAAGAGGAGCGCAGGAATCATAGGATCGGGCAAAACACCCAGATGAAGTGGGAATGGCCCCTGTCAGGGATGAAGCAGCACGAGGACCGGCCATCCGCATGAGGCGAGGGAAGTGATGCCAAGGGACAGCATCACAAGGTGGATGGAAAGGAGAGGGAGGAGGAGGAGGAGGAGGAGCAGTGTCAAAGAGGCCTCCTTGAGTAGGAGTAGTGTCGCAGGTGATGTTGTGGGAGTGGGTATATAACCATGCTCCTTGCCATAGCAAGTAGGTGGATCTCCATCCACTCTACACCATATCATACTAGCTATAACTTTCACATAAGTATACTTAGTAGTTCATCAACAGTAGCAATTGTAAGACATTGCTCCTATCATAGTGAGTGTGTTGTATCACCACTCATTGACATCAATTGATACCAAAGGCATTTCATACTGCAGTCCAGCTCTCTCAATTATTAGAAACCAAAGGCAGTCATCCACTGCGGTCTGGGGATCACCTCAAGCACTCAGTCGACACACTGAACACTCATGTCAGTGCCAACAACATCACTCACACCAGACCTTTGTGTCATAGCAATACATCTATCATTATTGATCATGCCGAGCTACCTCTGGATGGAGTGTCCACAGCAGTCAGTCGAAACCTGCAATAGCAATTAATCTATCACATATTCAAGCAAGAAAAGTCATAGAGGCCTTCTACAACAGATCTCAACCAAAATAATAATACACAGTATCTTACCATGTATCTCAACAGGATCTGTAATAGAAGCAGTTCTACTACAGATATCAGGTTTCAGGCGCGAGACCCCTGGCAGGCGCTTAGACAGTGCAGCACAGAGTACTTCGTAGTTCAACACCATTCCAGTGTCTTCGAGAGTGACGATAAAGTGATGGTAGGATGTGACGTACCTAGCCTGGTCTATGAGCGTCCTGACCTTGAGGAACTCAGGAAGAGCATGGCCCATGGATTCGGCTTTGGCCCATGGATTTCGTTTTAGCCCATGGATTCCGTTTTGGCCCAGTGTTCATTGATGTTGGCCATAAGCTTGCAGATGTTGGCTTAAAACATGTGGATCTTTCCAACTTCATTGAGCAGGGTTGATTCAGCAATCTTCTCCATCTTTGTAAGGTCCTTCTTCAATCTGCAATAGAGGTCATGCAGCTTCCAAGGTTCTGAGTTGGCCAGTTGTACAAATAGATAGTTGAAGTTGTCAGTTCTGGTAAGCAGTGCACTACTCTGGAAGATGGTGCATAATTTGTCATCAAGGATGCAATCATATTTCTTGTCCTCTAGGGCTATGATACTGTCAAGGTGTTTCACAGCCACCAGCCAGTTGGATAGGATGCCTTGGAAGCAGGGGTTCCAAGCATACCAGTTCCTGGTTGTGAGCTTGGGTGCTTCCTTGAGGGCATCATGGATACAAGAGTTTTGTTAATGGAAATCAGAGTGGCACAATGGCTTCTTGTATGTGTCAGAGTTTCTTGCTTTGTTGCACTTTGTGAGTCTGACAAGTATGCCTTTGAGCATTTTGGGGTTGAGGTTGTTGATGGTGTTGATGTTGTAATGTGTTTTGTCCCCCTCTTCATTGTCATTGTTGGAGTCATAATGTGAGGGGGTGTCTGTACCATTTACCATTTGCCAGTGTGGTGTGTTGGGAGCTCTTTTTTCAGGTGGGTTGTTGGACAGTTCGCTGCTTTTGATGTCAGAGTTGTGGATGTGTGGAGGCACACTGGATTGGCAAATTTGGCAAAGACAAGCCCTTTCTTTGGGCAGCAGAGGTGGGTGAGGGTACAGGTCTGTCAGCATGGTGGAGCAATGTGGTATTCCTACAGCAGAGCTTTTCAGACTCTTAATTTGTTGAGGAAAGCACAATCAGGGTGGTCAAGCAAGCAGCAAAATTGTTAGCATTCAGTGAGAACTAGATACAGCAATATCAGAGTATATATGCTTCTACAACCAATGTGTGATGGCAAGTTGCCACATATGACTGCATGACATGATTGAATAAGATAGGGGCCATTGGTGGGCGACAATGCATGTTAGTGGTGGGCAACGATGTGTGTTAGTGGGAGTTGACAGGTGGTGATGCTGAGCGAGGTTTGCGGAATTGTCGGAATATCACTAAGCAGTCATGTGATTTCACTTGCACATCCACTTGCTTCACTTCATTACACTGGTGCACCATATCCTTCATTACTGTGTGTCATGTCTTTCATTACTGTGTGTCAAATGAAGTGTGGATGCATGGATGCACAACCACTTGCTTCCCTCCTTCATTACTGACAATATTTTTGATAACATACATGTTATATGAAACCAAATGTCACCTTTGCTGCAAATAGGGGGTTTCAGTTTTTTTTTTCGGAAACTCAAGTTTTTTTTTTTTTTGAGTTTTCACTTGTGTCATTACTTATTCATTACTTTAATAAGCTCTGCCATTTTGGAAAATACTCTAGTTTTTGAAAATGTGGCCTCAGCAGTACCAATGCAGCAGAGTTTTCAGAATTGGACCTGAATTTTCACTCACATGATGTTGCACATGATCTACTTGTGCAAATGCCTCCACTTTTTGTGCACAGTTTGTTTTGCATGAACCCACAGTGTCAATAATGACTGTATATACTTTGATTGTGCAACAAGAGTGTCAAAGATGGTGGAGCTACAAGGTGGTTTGGATTCTGGAACTGCTTCATTTTCTGGCCAACACTTCATGTTCCAGCCAACACTACCCTCCCTTTGTTGGCTTTGAAAATTAACCCTCTAAAAACACAGCTTACATTTGGAGGCATCAATTTTCTGGCCTTTTTCACTATTCGAAGACTCTAGTTTTCGAGGGCAAAAAAAAAAAAAAAAAAAAAAAAAACTGAAACTCCCTAATGTGTTTTTGGAAACATGTGTTATTTGGAAAATGGGGTGTTCAAAAACAGGAAAAAGTTCTCAAAATCGAGAAACATGTGTTTCTAAAAACACTCCAAATTTGATACCCCTTCAGAAGATTTTGGCCAAGAAGCTGCACAACCGGTGCAAAGCCAGCCGCATTTATGGAACTGCATTCAAGCCAATGATGATTCTTCCCGCCATCTTTGGCTGAGCCTTCTCTGTTCAATGTCGGAGCTTGTCCTACGTATTTAGTCACTGATGAATTGACTGGGTTTGTTCAGGAGCCACGACGCCACGACAGGCACTTGCGGTGCAATGACTGTTTCGATCGGTCAGAAGCCAAAGCTCTCGGCGATGAGAGAGACGTCGAGATCGGAGAGTTTCTTGCGGACGATATCCGCCTGAATTCCCGCTACGGCGTTGGAGGCATCCATCACCATGCCAGAGGGGCCGCATACTACAATCACTGCTGATCGAGATCGATTGACTTGCTCGACAGCCGCATCCGATTGACTAGAAGGTGTCTTTTCGATGTCTGTCTCCTCTTGACTCGAACTAGAGGCCTCCCGAGCCATCTCTCTGACTTCTGATGCTGCATCAGGATGAGATCCATATTGTACTTGCCATGATGTCGGCAGTCCAAGATCCCCAACAACCACGTTTTTCCCACTGACATGGATCGAGATTCGCAATGCACCACTAGGAGCCAGCGCGTAAATAGCGAGAAGGTGCTCGCGAACCCAATCGATTGACTCTGCGTCTCGTATCGACCAAATCAGGTGAACACTCTGTGTAGCTGCTTTTTTCTGCTGCCATAGCCAAGACAGCTCCAACAACGCAGCGAGCACAAAGGTGATGCCGCTGCCTCCTGCGAGAAGGAGAACATGTTGAAAACTTGCAATACTGGCATCTTGTCCATAAGGTCCGTCCAGAATTGCTGACAGCGTCAACTCTCTCTCGTTCATGCCTTGGTGCACGAGTTGCGTGTTGGCGGCTCGCTCGTAGAGACGCTTGGTGAGACCATTTCGGGCCCTGGCCATCAGCACGACCGTCGACATGAGCTGATGACTATCGGGGGACGGCATCGAAACAATGGTGAATGGATGGGCCGATAGTGGAGAGAGACTCGGAAAGCGTACGAAAACATGATGTCCGGGCTTCCATCGTATGGCTGACTCGATTGTCATCCTTGTAAGATTGCTTGGCAGCGCTTCGATACGGCATTTCCCCAAGGCGAGCAAATTGTTTTGGCGCAGTTGCGAGGCGAAGCGGAGGAAGACGGAAAGCATGTACATGGCCGCTGTCGCCCACAGATATCTCCACGAGGTCAGCAGAGCTTGGCAGTGAACGAACATGTAACCCAGAAAGATGATGGCCACAGGTACATGGACGAGCAAAAACAGCTCGTAGCACCTTTCTCGGATCCCTGTCATGCTGGCGAAAGAAAGAACAAACAAGCAAGCATATGCAATGACTCCAGTTGTGTTGATGCTATCCGAGAAGAAGGCTTCCCGCAAGCCAGCAACACCATCGTCGGCCAAGGGCTGATGGATAAACGGAATCGCGTGCACCGTCGCAAGGAAAAGCATAAAGCGAGCCAGCCACTGGTGGTACACTTGAAGCTTCCCGTGACTGACGCCTATTAAGAGAGAGACGAAGTTGACTTTGGATCCCAGGACATAGATGAATGGCATCAGTCCCAGTGCCATCATGCCGGATCGAAGAGCCAGCGGTGGACTCCCGAAGCTGCGATCGACGCGATAGTACGGCTGTACGATGAATGTCCAGAGGGTAAAACCAAGCATGAATGCGCTTAAGGCCAAAGTAGCTCCGAGTACAGGCAGCCGAAAGTTGATGAAACCTATGCGGTAGGCAGGCAGTCTCCGATAGGCAAGCATCCTCACAGCGGCGGTGAACCTGGAGAGCCTGCCCGAGCTGGAGCGGGGGGACTGCGCCATATCTCTTGAAGTGTCAGCACATTTGGAGCGCCAGTGTTGCTGCCATCGCGACCAGAGTGTCGCGAATGTGAAAACGAGAATGACAATCGAAATGGTCGCTGTGATGCCCTTGCTGTACTTGGCTTGGCCCCTCCATGGGTCTCCAGTGCGAGTTGTTTGCAACAGACCAAGGCCTGCCGTCGTGGATGACCCATGCCTCTTCTCTATCATGCTTGCCTATCTTCCTGTCTATCGAACGATCCTTAGGAAAGGTGGAATTTTTCGATCGTAGTGAGTCGCTCTGAAAAACGGTGGAGAAGACCACGGTCTGGTATGGTGTTCCTCCTGACAAACATGTGCCCACTCGACAAAGCCCACTTGAGGTCTAGAGTCATCTCGTGGCGCTCGTTGGTATTGCAGTCAGCTGTCGTCGGAGCCTTCTCAGGAGTGTTGCATGTCAATTAACATCGGCTCGGACCCTTATTTGCAGCCGCCCACATTGCAGTCGAGCGCGACTCATCCGGAAAAGCCTCCGAGCACCACCAAGGCGCACGGCAAGGCTCCGTTGGGGGACGACAGCCTTGTATCTCGAACAGCACGACTTACGTTCTTGAAGACCTTTCCAGCCGCAAGTGCAAACATAAGAAGCGCGCATAGCTTATTTTTGAGCCTGACATGTTACGTTATTACGTGCGCAAGCTGTATGCGCGGTGTAATGGTGTAATTAGATGGATTGCAGGAAGGAAGGAGGAGATCTAAGGAGAGGCTAGTTTAAGTACTAGCTTCCGTACAGAGCAAAGATAGGTATCGAACTTTGTGTGTGACGTGTATTCGCGCAAGAAGATATTGATCGAGCATTCTCGTGCGGCTAGTATTCACACGAAAGAGTACCCAGGCGTGACATTGGCCCGCCGAAGAAAACACTACAAGGCGAGTATGGAGCGAGGTGAAGGAGTGCTGAACGATGCGGTACGAAACTAAGGAGCGAGACAAGGAGTGCCGGAAGATGCGACATGAAACTAATGCAGGAGACGAGATGGTGAGCTGAACAATGCGATTTGTAGTAACGGAGCCGAAGAAGACACTAGAAGGCGAGTAAGGAACGAGATGAAGGAGTGTTGAACGACGTGTCCGGTGAGTGCGTGATGCCAGGAGCGTCGTCGACGCCCGAGAAATTGCTTGAGTGATACCAGTACCCGAGCTTGTCATAGTCTCCATTAAGTTATACATTCATGTAGCTTTGCTCCCTTCAAGTAATATGATTAGTATTGCAGTTAGTATACACCTGTGCAAAGGGAACTTCATCGTAGCCCCGATGAAGTGGTGTCTTATACTTCAAACTTCAACTGCTTCACATGTACCATTGTGTAGAGATTGTCAAGGGCTTTCAAACGATATAAGACAGTTGAGCATTTGATCTTGTCATTGTTGAGCATTGTAGTGATTAGTGGTACACCTCGAATTTGCGGGACGGTTTACGCGCGAGCTGTATTCCGTGAGACCGATCAAACTTGTGCTCGGGCCTAAAACTCTCCCTTCACTATCCGTAATCTGAACAAGACCTTTCTCCTTAGCCTGCTGCAAGTAATCACTGAATCCAGTCGATCCTAGCGATTGGTAGAAGGCACCGATCCCACCAGGTCCTGGGTTACGCTTAGCTACCTCACGGGTTAACTTTGACTTTGTAACTACCGCTTCGCCCTCCCCGTTCAGACTGACAAGACTGTCAATGAGCGGTCGAAAGCGGATAGCATCGTCAGCAGGAACTCGTCCCGAGGCAGTATATCCTTCCGAAAAGGTTGAGCGTTGGAGCGAAGCAAGCACTTGGCTTGTCTCTTTGCGTAGCGCTTCGAGGTCTTGTTTCTTCTGTTGCTGACTCTCGCCATCGCTCAAGTTGGCGTTGGGGTCAGGTTTGTCTTTGCTCTTGCCGAAAGAGAACAGGTTTGTTCTGAAGAAGGGTTGGCTGTTGTGAGCAGCATTCTCGTCCGAGTCCTCATCTTCGCCATCAGTAATGCTAGTCTTGCTTCCCAGACGAACGAGACAAGGGTGAAGTCGCAAATGCCGTACACCAGGCTTAAAACCTGGCTCAGTCGTGACAATCTTGGCAGCAACAGCAGCGTCAACATGCTTTTGGAATTCCTCGGCCGACCTGACCTTCAAACCTGGAACCCCAACCGACGAACGCTGGGTGCCGATGATCGAATGACAGAAGTAGTCTGTAGAATAGTTGCGACCCTCTGCCATCTGCTGAAGCAGGAGCGTAGCAAGGGGGGAGAAAACGAGTGGAATGTCGTGTCCATTAAAGATTGTTCGACGCTTGCGAGCACTTGCATCTTTGGAGGGAGATTCAGTCTTCGGCGTACCCTTGAGAGCGCCGAAGTCTAGAAAGCCCTTCTTGACAGTCGACATCTTTTTGTCGACGGATGGGGCGAGGGCGGAGGCAGTATCTGCGATGCGTCTAGCACTAACGGTGACTTGACCAGTGTGCAGACTGAGACACTTGGGATGAAGTTCAACGACAAACACCCCTTCGTGGTCGGTTGGAGCAGAGCGTGCTACGCCTGCTTGCTCTGCAGCAGCAATGTATTCTCTCCAGCCCGAGACACCAGCGAGGGCGTAGGCGTGGACGACGCCCTGGCGTGCAAGGACAGCGAGTTGCGTGCCTACGAAAGAACAGAGCGGTTTCGGGTTGCCCTGCGATCTCTGCTCTTTGCAGATCTCGATGAGTGGCAAGAATGGCTTGAGTTTGGTGGGGATAGACGAGGATTCGTTGAAGGAAGTGTTGGGAGTCGAGTAAGGTGCCGGTTTCTGTCGGTTTGAAGTGCCACTCGAGCCTGACGAGTTGCTAGGCATCATGGGAATGGAAGCCGCAGCCCTGGCAGAGTCCTTGAGAGCTACCCATTCGTGACCCGTTGCGCCTGACGAGCCTAGAGTAACGATGCCGGCGGCCTCTGCCACAGCAGCATATTCTGCCCATTTGGCAGCACCAGCGCGGACAAAGATGCCTCTGTCCAGCTGTACCAGTCGGGCGGCAACCATGGACCTCAAAGGTTTAGAATGACCCTCTTTCTTGATTTGTTCGAGCAGCTTGATGAGAGGATCAAAGAGCTGCAGTGTTCGATTCGATGGACGTCGGTCCTGGTGTTTGAGAGCTCCTGGCGGCTTGCCGATCGACATACCGCCACTTGGCTGGTTTGAAGCATGCTGGTTGCTGGAAGAACTGTATTGACCATTCTTTGATGGAGTGTTAGGACCTGCCTTTGAGTAGCTGCTGTAAGGTTTACCATCCTTGTTCGTCTGGACGCCAAGTACATCTTGGCGCCATGACATAACGACATTGGCTGAAGCTTCTAAGATCGGAACGGCCCCGATCGGTGGAGTAACTAGAACGATACTGTATCCTCGATTCCTAAGAATGCCGAGCGGATATGCAAAGTCGCGATCGCCCGAGATCAGAACGACCGTGGCAGGGGCAGGCTGATCAATCGCATAAGCAAGGAGATCGGTGATCATCATCTTGTCGGCGACATCTTTCCTGCCACTCTTGGGCGTGTCGATGAGACTGACACCACAACCTTGCAGCTCGCTTCTGAGCTGTACTTGCACAGCGTTGGGAGCCTGCGTTTCGGAAGAGAGCTCCAGATAGGCTTTGAAACTGACGATGGGACCCTGCTCTAAGTTCTGGATTGCAGCACGGACAGCAAGCGCGACTGAACGACCGGACGAGCCTGTGGGTGGAGCGCAGTTGTCTGCATCCCAGAAGATGGCGACCGGCTCGACGTCCTCTTTGAAGCGATCGCGTTTCGCCTTGCCACTGGATGTTGTCGATGGCGAAGATTCGCGCCCTCTGTCATCATCATCTCGTCGTGATGACTTCTTTGAGACTTTCGGTGGGGGCTGTGATAGGAACCGAGTGGCGATCAGAACAGAGCTTGTACCGAGACCAGCGAGGGCGAGCCACCGAACGCCTGTTTGTTGGAAGTAGTGAACGAGACTGTCCACAGAGGCCGAAGCAGCTGTATCTTGACGATCGGCGGCCATCGAGCGACCTCAAAGCTGCGACGGCTGTAAAGGATGCGGCGAAGCCTAATGAAGTGGCTGTTTGTCGGCAATTAGCTGCCTCCGAAAGTGTCGCAGGGAAAATGAAGCCGAAAGACTAATATCGAAACGAAGGGAGGAGACGAAAAGAGCGTGTGAGTAGACGTTGCTGGTCGAACCGGCCTGGGGTTGGAAGAGTTGAGGATGCAGAGGGCGTTTGTGTGTGAATTGGAAGACTTGGTGTTGGTCTGAGCTCAGTTCCTTGACACACGCCACGCACGGCTGACCTGAACTTACAGTTGAAGTTAGGCGCGCCCGTACTGGACTTCTGCAGAGAACTAGTTGAAACATGTGGTGTCTCGGCAACTGAAGCATACAAATGCAGTCTTCGCCGAGCCCACATCCAATCACCAACTTTGCTTGGTTGGGCTTAGTGCATTCCCCAGGCCAACTGCTAAACCTCAGGATGCTGGTCATCAGATAGCCAGTGTTTTCTCCTCCCCTTTAGTTCCTTGCTCATGCTCCTGCCCTATCAGCTCTTAGTATCATACACACATATGGAGAGCATTGAGGCATATATAAATGCTTGATTTATCATGTACTTAGGAATGATTCATTATCACAATTGATACTTGTGATCATCAACTTTGATGCACCTTTGATTGATCTCGACGATGCCCTTCAACTGAACTGAATTTTCTTACAATTTTCTCCAGTTGAGGCATTCGGATTTGCTGTAATGGTCATGTTCTTGTTGGAGATTACGATCCAGTGAGATATTAAAGGATGACGCAGAGCCGATCTGATCAGAGATCAGGCAGGACCAATCTGGTGGGAGGACCAATCTGATCAAAGATCATGGATAAACCGATTTCACTAGAGATTGGGGCAACCAAGTCCTGCTTGTTGCCAGGCTGGATCATTAGGTATAGCAACTCCCACATCCCACATGTGCCTCACAAATGTATATACATCAGGCTGAGAATGCTAGGTTCTCACCATGCTCTCTCAGTCAATTGAGTATATATATTTCTTTTTAGCAGCAGTGATATCCTACTTAGACTCTCCCCAATTGCCAGTTATTGGGACCCAAACTTCAACAGGTTATGAGCCCAAACAGCCAATATGCTACCAATGAGAAGATACATTATCAACATGTCTAACATTAACTACTCTATCTACTACTCCTTAGCTGCACCTGTATGGGACCTAGTGCCAAGACAGCCTAGAATGGTCCAGGACCATTTTAATCAAGTTATGGAAGATGAGGTCTATGGCACACCTAATGCTTCAAAGAATGGCAAACTACTGAAATTTGATGACAATGATGATGAGGAACAGATCATCACACCTCTGTCCATCATGGTCAAATGTGTCAGTGTACTCTATAAAGGGACATATGGTCTTGGCCCATTTGCCAATTGAATCAAACTTGGCAAGCAAATGTGAACAAGACTAAACTCCTTTATTGCCAACATTGAATGTGATGCAACTCACATCCTCAACCTCAAGATCAAAGGACCAATGGACATCACCCATGACATGCATCCATATTACCACCTGATTAAGGTCGATACCTCTGTGTCAGCCAGAGGTGATGCCCCCACTCCCAAGATGGTTCCATCAGATGGAGCCTCGGATACCCCTGCTTCCGACCTGAATGACTTCAATCACCGCATTTGTCTAATTGGCTGTGATGCTACACTAGCGCCTACCCCTGAGCTTGACAACCTCACAAATCATTACTTGAAGGTGCTCTCCAGGTTAAATGACAAGATGAGGTGAAATGAACATGACCTCCTCAACCCAATATCAGTCTCTGTACATGCATGGCGACACAAGATATTTGCAACTCTGTCTGTTGTCCCCTTTGCTTGGAATGTTCTTGACCAAAAGTTAATGACCTTTGTGTCACAGGGTCGACTGGCCAGTGCAAGAGAGTGCGCCAATTGATCAGCGGCAGTCATGGTAATGTAGCGCAACGGAGCAGTATATGAAGGGTGTGCAGAGGATCAACATATGAAGGGTGTGCCAGATTGATCAGAGCCAAAAACCATTGGGGATCAATGAGATTAATTGGGCTGGCAGTGCATATGAATTACGAGATTGATCGAACTCCAGGAATCCAGATTAATCTCATGGGGATTGGTCAGGATCAGTCAGATCAGCATGCCTCAACTAGTCAGCTGATATGAGCAAGTACTAGGAGCTGCATTGAAGTAACCACATGACCAAGGGGTTTGGTCATGAGGTTCAACAAGTGACTAAAGGGATTCACAAGACAAAGTCGAGAAGGAGCTGTGCCGAAGTGACCACATGACCAAGGGGTTTGGTCATGAGGTTCAACAAGTGGCTAAAGGGATTCACAAGATAAAGTCGAGAAGGAGCTGTGTCAAAAGGGGGCATCACACATCATCAGGCAGAAGGAGAGCATGAAGGCAAGAGGGCAGTGTTGCATAACCCTTATGCCATGCAAATGGTAGGAGCACAGTATCAATGGGATTGATGCCAGCAGGACAAGACAGTGTTGAACAGGGGACAAAGGCCCCTCAAGAGGAGCAGGATAGGTGTCATGGGCAACACCAACTGAATGCATAAATACTCTCATTCTACCATAGCATACAAGTGGATCCCCATCCACTCTTTACTTATTATACTACTTACTCTATCTACTCAGTTATGTACCATTGCAATAGCAGTGCTCTTGCAATGACTCTCAATGTGTGTGTTGTATCACTGTTAGTCAACAACTGTAGACAGTGTTCTTCAACACTAGCAGTCCAGTGCCTTTACTGTAGGTGGTGTTTGTCAACACTTGCAGTCCAGTCCCTTACTGTAGGCAGTGTTGCTCGACACCTGTGGTCCAGTCAGTTATTGTAGGTGGTGATTCACACCTGCAGTCCAGTAACTCCCATCCTCTGTAGGCAATTAGCATATCGCAGTCCAGACAACATCCAAGAGCATTATCAACAGTACTACAAACACTCATACTGTAGGAGAGGGTGTATCACCCACTCACCAACAAACAACATTCATGCCATGCAACCTCTGAACAGAGTGTTCAAGGCAGTCAGTTGAGACTTACCAGGTGGTGACACTTGGTTATGTTTAGGTGAAACATATCGAGTAGACCTTACTCAATCAAACTCAATAGCACCCCAAAACTAAGTCTCTGGCGCGCGACTGCTTACACTTTGAAGACGCCAACTCACTTCTTGGGTCAATCATAATGCGCAGCTTCTCAAGCAAGTTGCACACCAAGTACTTTGCTGAACATGGTGATTGGCCAGTACCAAATGCTGTAGACTTGTTTAACTGGGTGATAAAAAAATGTACAGTCCCTGTGCATAAGTTTGAGGACAATTGGGTAATTTCCCAATTTAGCTGGTTACCCCACATTTGGGTTGTTGTTGTCATTGAGCAATAGCACTACCATCATATTAATCGAAAACACTTCAAACACCATTATGGTCTGTGGCAATGAGCTCTCTCCAAGCAAGTGTGCTTCAATCATTGAAATGCATGATACTGGGCTGCCAATTTGATGAATTGTGGAGCTAAGTGGCATTTCCAAGACAGCAGTTCACAATACCATCCATAACTTTAAGGAGCATGGTACCTTTGAAACAAAAGCATGATCTGGCTGTCTGTGCTCCTGGACAGCTACCTCGGACTGATACCTTCAGTGTGAGGTACTCAAAAACCCATTTCTATCATGGTGACAGCTGTCAGCATCGCTTGGCAGCATTCCAATAATGCAGCTCCAGAAAGCAGCATACCAGGCTGGTATTAACTGCTGGATTGCACTTCAAAAGCTGTTTCTGACAGCCAAAAACTGGCATAAACATCTAGAATGGGCCAAGGCTAATGGCACAACTGATTGGAGGGGTGTGCTCTTCACAGATGAGGCAGCTGTCAAGGTTGGCTACCAGCCTGGTTGCACATGGGTTAGTCACCAGAAAAACACTTGAGAAGACATCAACAACATGGTTCTGACATTCTGTTCTGGCTGTTTCAGCATCCAGGTATGGGCTGGCATTGCATTCAACCTTAAAACCCCATTGATTGTGCTCCCATTGGCTCCAAGAAAGAAGTGGCTGTGGTCAGTTAATCAATGGGATCCCGCCAAGAACCTCACAGCTGTCAGATATCACAATTGGATCATTAATGGCCTGCTCTGGGATGCCGTAAATGCTGTTAGTGCATGCCCTGACAGCCTGTCAGTTGTTGAAGACAGCAGCAGCTGTCATCAGGCTGCTATCTGCAAGCAATGGCAGGCCGAATACCACATTAAAACACCGGAACACCTGCTGGCTTTGCTGGATCTTAACCCTTTTGAGAACATATGGTATGTTTTCAAAAACTTGCTTGGTAAGTGCTTGCTGGTACCAAAAACCCAGGATGAACTTGCAAGAGCTGCAGAGGAAGTGTGGAACACCCAGATCATGCTCAAACATATCAATCCTGTGATCAACTTGATGGAGCATCACATGGAGCAAGTGCTTACTAAGCATGGAGGTCCACTCAAGTATTAGTTGGCTCTGAGACTCACTGCAATTGAAAGCTCTCCTTTTGAGCTTGCTCACTGTGTGTTTTGCTCAGTCTGACACTTATGAGAGATCACTCCTCCAAGCAGATGGAAGGTATGCTATTGGATGGTTAAATCAGTGTCTATTGGACCCTGTCCCCAAACTTTGGACAGGGACTGTACCCTCCATCGCCAAAGAATATGAGCTTCTTGCTATCACATATACCTTGCAATGGGATCAAGTGGGATGACATGCATATGATTTCTTGTTTAAATGGGAGGCTCATGTGTCCAAACTCCATACCTACCTACAGCATGTCAGGGGTCGCACGCCTGAAACCTGATATCTGATATCTGTAATAGAAACGTGTCTATTACAGATCTTATCGAGATATGTGGTAAAAGGCCGTTATTATTATTCTTGTCAAAATCTGTTGTAGAAGGCTTCTATGACTTCTCTCACTTGAATATGTGA